GTATCAGGGTCGGATGCTGCCGGCAGCCCCAGGCTGCCGCCGGGGAAGCGCTCGGCGGTACCGACGGCCGAGACACCGCTGCGGCGCTCCCGCCTCCTGCCTGCGGCTGCCGCCGGGGCGTCCAGCGAAGCCGACTCGGACTCCTCCTCGGCACGATGAGCGGCGTCAGGGGGAGCCCGGCCGGCTGCCGGTTGCTCTCTGCTGCTAGCAGCCTCTGCCATCGCCCCGCCGAGCGGTGTCAACTTCTCCAGGCGCTGTGAAGGCGGGGTGGGAGGACACGCACACGGACGGCGTCCGGCGGCGCTCCCCTCACAGCACTACGGCGGCGGCAACTTTCTCCGGTGGAGCCATGCTCGTTCCCCACAGACTCCGCAGCACCCCCGGTGCAGGGGACACGGAGAACGGAGCGGCCGCGGGAAAGCGCCGCGCGAGCGGCGAGCGCAGGAAGTGCCGCCGCGGCGGCGGCACCGCTGTGTTGTGACAGCGGTCGGGCGTGTTTTGACAGGCGGCGGTGACGGACGGGGCGCTGAGCCACTCAGCGCTGCCGCGGCCCCCCGAGGGGCGCCGGGCTGCCCAATGGGCTTCGTGAGGGGCGTGTCCGCGGGACGCCTGGATGGGCGTTCTGGGCGGTGCGCGGCGGCGAGCGGCTGAGGGGCAGGTAGGGCTGGGGGTGAGCGAGCAGGGCGAGCTGTGGGACTTGATGGCATCCACCGCGGCGCCGAGAGAAAGGGAGCGGGAGGGACCGTTTTGTTCTTCCTCTCACCCTCCCGTCTGTGGGGAGCGCGTGTGCGTGCCGGGACAGCCGAGTCAATGCTTCGCGCATTTTGAGGCAGCACCCCTGTCAGGGCTGAAACAGCCTGTGAGGAAAAGGGGACTAGGTTAACCCCGCTTCAAGCCCGCGCAACCGCGGTGTTCCCCTGGAGGTACTCGCATTGGGAGCGCAGCCGAGGAGACGAAGGGACGGTGCCGGGCTGGCAGCGCGCGGTTACGAGTGAGCGCTGCCCCCCAGGGCTGCTGGCGGAGGGGGAGGAGTCCGCGCCCAGGCCCCGATTGCTGCGGGTGGGCCAGCAGAGCGGGATGAGGCGTGAGGGGCGCCTCACAAAAGGCAGCGAGGACTCACATTGGGACCCTCCGGCGCTTGAAAATGAACCCGAAACAAGGCGGGCTGCGGCTTGGCCACCTGCTCCTCTCAGGGCGCTCCCCTCACGGCCGCCGGCCCGGGGCAGCGCTTGCACCGCCGCGCCCCTCAGCTCCGAGCCCCTCCAGGTGGCCGGTGCGCTGCGCCCGCCGTTACAGAGCCAACACCGCCCCCTGGCGGCACGAAGCGGCCGGGCCGGAATACCCGGCCCAGCAGCGCGGTCCCGGGCGGGAGGCGGGAGGAGCCGTCCAGTAAGGGTTATCTTTCTCCCGGCAGCCAGGCCATGAGCTGTGGTGAGCCGTCAAGAGTGAGTGCGAGCGTGGTGCTGCACTTCACAGCTCTCCAGGTGGGGTTTCGTTATAATGAGGTTATCTACGCGAGCATCTCGGGAAAGATGGGGTAGAGGGGACTGCAGTAAGGGTAAAAGTGTGGGGAAGGGAAAGCAGGAAAGGCAGCTGAGAAACACGGATTATATTGAAGGATGGAAAATAAGAGGGATAGGGCTGGGCGTGCTAATAGTCACTGGAGGCATAAGTCTACTCAAAATTAGCTACCGGCTTTAAAGGCAGTAAGACTTAGTGGAAAAATTCCTTTCTGTTTGGTTTCTAAAGTAATTTCACAATGAAGGTGTTGGGCACCTGTTGGCAGTCAATCATTAAATAGGAAAGAGTAAGAACCTCCTTACCCCAGCCAGTCATTAGCAACTATCAAATGCCTAGCTACAGGATATAACTGCCACTTAAAGGATGTGAATTTTTCTATATATACACAATGTATAATACAATTCCATACCAAATCCCAGAACTTCTGTCAAGGTTACAGAGGCACTTACCATATTCAACTCAAAAAAAAAAAAGCTGATTGAGAGACAGATCTAAATAACAATGAACTTTCTTTTTCCCATGAGCTTCCATCTAAATTTGATGTAAGCAATGTCATGAAACATGTATACAACAGTTTTCTTGTTGGGAGGGTTTTTTTCAGTTAAAAAGACCAGAAAATAACTAATATTGCATCGAAGAAACATTCACCTTAAAAAATACTGGAAAGAAAAGACTGGTAAGAGAATAGAGGACTCAACCCCAGCCTGCATTGTACAAGAGAGAGTACAAGATATTAAGTTATTGCAACAAAAGGAGGGGAGGAAGAACTAATAAAAGCTTTTAGCTGTATCTCTACATACTGTCACACAGCCTGACCTAAGAAGACTAATTTAAAGACAACAGGAAAGGTAATTACCATGCCATATATTATTAGAGAGTATACATCATGTAGAAATATGTTGCAGCTTTTTAATATATTTTGTGAAATCGTATGAAGTTTAATCGCCAGTTTAATTATTTGGGAACAGCGAAGTACCCTCATTGCTGGAATATGCTGCATCCCCTAGAAACTATTTGTAGCATGTTGCAGTGGCACATGCATATAACATACTAAAGATGTTATAGTTAAAGATTAAATGTCTTAAACATTTCAAATTAGTTTTTTGTCATTAAATGCATTTGGCTGCTGAAATAAAAAAAAATTAAGATCATTTAATTCTCACCTTAAATTACAACCTTGACATGTGAAGCCATTAACTGAAAGGGTCTATAAGGAAGCTACAGATTTCAAGTTTCATAAGCATCAAGCCTCCAGGAAACACGAATAATATTTGTTTTGTTCACAAAATGCACAGGTTTTATAATTATGCATGGTACAGCTAAGAGAGAGTTTAGTTACACTTCTCTCCAGAAGAGAATAAAAGGTTGACTAATTTTTAGTACTATATTTATGACTACACATGTATGGATGCTTCTGATGTATCTATATTGATATGCTTCTGTTTGTAAATGTGGAGAACCACGAATTATGAAGGAAAAGAGCAATTTGGTTTGATACAACTTGACACCTAATTAAAAAAAAAAAAGTTAACAAGAGGAAGATTTACACTAAAATGCTTGCATAGAAAGTTAAAAAGAATTAAGGTTGCTTGGTGATGAATGTATTTAATGACAGGGACAGATTTTCCAGAACAGTCAAGGAATTCACTCAAGCTAAGAAAGGCAAGATGATAGATTCAAAAAACACATCTATTTGTGTTTGCCTTAACATATGAGTCAGCAAATGCCTGCACTGTCTAATGTGCTTTTTTGTACACTCAACTTACTCCATCCTCGAGGCACCCAACTGTTCCTTGGTGGGTGTATTTTGTATCATAAAACAGATTAAAATACTGTAGTCTTGGAGCTGTGCTGCAGTATAGCTTACATAAGCCAGTAGTTTCCACCTAGACAGTGCATTTTGGGAAGCTTTTAAAATTAAGTGTTCTGCTGGGAGCTGAAAGTGGTGCTCCTGTACCAATTGACCATGGTTGATGAAGTGTGAAAACTGACATCTTTTCCTATGTCAGGAATATCTAATGTGCAAGACTGGGAAAGAACAATAGGGAAGAAGTTGCAATTTCTTCAAGTATGCATTCACAATGATAGCAAATCATAATTCATTTTCAAATTGATGAAACTTGCAAAGCAATGATGAGAAAATTCTTTAAATTAAATGAGGTAATTTTAAAAGTAATGATTTTTTTAAGTGTCGGTGGTTATTGTGTCTGTTTGTGCTATTATGTCCTCAGTATGGTATTATAAAACAACAAAAAATCCCACATAGTAATGATATAATTTATTCACACAAGGATACACTCGTTGCTAAGCTTCACTCGGGTTTTGGCAAGACAACCACAAATCATATTTTGCCTACAAAACTATTACAAAGTTTTTAGACTGGGAAGAACCCCAGCAAATTTAAGTCAGGATAAAGCAAATATAGTCAAAAGTTCATAATCTTTCATTTAAAACATACAGTGTGTTTTCAATTTTTGTTAGATTTAAAAAAAATATTTACACTGCTTGAGTCAATGCCTCCTAATTTTTTTTGCTAATTCTTTCTTCCCTCCTTTGTGGAATGAACCTAACTGAACTTAGGCATCTTATGGTTTTTTTAGATAGTATAAGTGTTGTGTCTTCTTTAACTTAGTGAGAAGTACTTTTGTGATATGCCTCTATCTTAATGATGTTCTTGTTCCAGCTGAAGTCACTGATGAATTCTTTTCTCTGTCTGATAGTACTTCCAGGCTATTTATGTGTTTTTAGTAATTAGAACACTCTGGTTATGGAAGATTCCTGCCAATTTTTACCTCCAAGGAACAATCCTTTATTTTAGCAGTGTTGTTTGCCTTAACAGATACACCAATTAAGTATGAGAAAGGGTAAAATCAGGATCTGTTAGGTCATGTTTAATCCTGTTTTACAGCCGCTTTTTGCTATAAAGACACAGGCCTTGGAGTGGAATGTATTGACCTCTATATGGAGGTCAGTGCATAAAAAAAAAATAAAATAGTAACACTGCAAAGAGACACCCAAAAATTAGCCAACACCAGAGTGAAGGTTCATGGTCTCAGTGCAGTTTAACATCCTTTGGTGCAAACATTGCAGTCATGTAAAATGCTATAGTAGGGCTTCTCTCACTGCATGAGACCTCTGAATGAGACCACTTTCCTCACCTTGAGTCCTATCCCAGTTCTTCTCACCTTCCTCCAAGCTGTAGCAAGGTGTTCTGGCGCTTAAGTCTCTTCTCCCTCCTCCTAACTGGATCCTCCCAGTTCCTACTTCTATCTGTTGCTCGCCAGCTGCCATGGACCACTCAGCACAGGAGACCTCAGAGGACTGCTGGACACCCTTGCCAGAATGGCTGTGGCATTTTTGCCACCACTCGCAGTACTTCTTTCATTGCTCCTGCTATGGACTTGCCTTACCCATTTGCTCCCTCTCCAGCAGGCTCAGCTCTTGCCACTGTGCATTCAACTGAGTTTCCTTCAACCCAGCCTGGGCATAGTGATGGTCACTGCAAGGAGGAAGGAGAACATCACTGCTCATGGCTCTGCTGGCTGACTTTGACAATGATACAGCAAAACTGCTCCACAGCTGCAGAGAAGACTGAACGGATCTCGGGCTAGGTAATGCTTGGCATGAACAGAGGAGTAAAATCTGAGATACAGAGATTCTGTGAACAAATTTTTCAGAAGCATAACAAGTAGCAGTATTTGAAACAAATTTTGTAGGCAGGAAAGAACACCCCCCTGATAAGGAAGTGATTCGTATACCAAATTCAGTGTCAGGTAAATCAGTTTTTTCTAGGGAAGGATGGTAAAATGTTACATGTTGGTTTGGATTTGTAAATAATCAAAGCATGCTTTTTTTCCTAGTCTGATTTTCAAGGGTAGATGCTTGACAATTCATTTCCCCTACATGAAGAGTCACAACATGAGTCATACACCTGTCTCCAAATTTTTGGCCAAAGTGATCAAAGTTCAGGAAGTTAAATAATTGAAAATAAGGTTTTTAATAGCATCAGATAATCTCAGAAGTAGTGCTACAACCTAGGCAAAACATACATTTAACCTTATCTAGGTGTTCCTGCTCCGGCAGGGGGATTGGACTAGATGATCTTCTGAGGTCCCTTCCAATCTCTAACATACTGTGATACTGTGATACATAGAATTTGTGCAACTAGTGAAGCTATCTCAAGTTCCCATGCTTAGTCGCTACTTGCTCAAGTTTGGGGGAGGGAAGAGAAGGCATATTTTGTATATTATAACAGAAATTATTGTGAGGATTTGGGGGAGTCTTAAATATGAGTTCTTATTCAAGTCTAATTATACTTAATAATAATGGCTCTTGTTTAAGGTAGGTGGTAATTCTACTTAATGAGAACATTTACCAATGACCATTATTTTCACATAGCTTTTCTTAACTCCTCTGATTGTTCCTCTTAGTATTTCTTTGGCTGTGACACATGCATAGAAATCTAATTGTAGTTGTTGCTACCTTTCAGGCAGTTAAAAGCTTCGGAGGAAACCTGGTCGTATACCAAGCATGGGATGTAGGCTATTCTGACTGATAATCAGACATGCAACCTCCTTCTTAATGTGTGCTCTCTGAAAGATTTTTCATTGCTTAATTAGGTTGGGTTATAAACAAATTAATCAGGTGCAGCCTGGACCACTGAGGCTATATGCACTAGCCCCCTCCATCAGGAGAAAAGACTACTTGTGAATTATATATGGGGGCTCCTGACAATGGAAAAAGTATCAAATAATCTAATAGGAGTAGATCTCTATAGGCAGAGCATTGGTCCTGAGAGCATGATGTCCATACCATAGGCATTTTGTGGGGGGGTTACTTGGGAAAAGCCTTAGTTCAGTCCAAGTAACCCCCACCAGATACACCCAAAGTATGTCAGTGTTAGCAGTACATTGCTATCTGTGCCTGACTGGCTACCCAAAGAAAGAGTGTGAAGAGCTATACCCATACCTGATTCATTTTAAAGAAAGCTGGTTTCCTATGAAAAAAAGTCAGAGCAGTGTTTCCCAGCAATGTTTTTGAGAGCTTCTACACTGGCTTAAAGAGGTAATAGATGCGAGCAGAGAACAGGTACCATGTAAAATGTAGCCTTTTTGTATGGGAACTAAAGTTATAAGCAGACTTTGTCCTAGTCCCGATACCACTTCTAAATACAACCTTACATGCAGTTAAGTAGATAGGTTTGAAAACCTGCTACAAACATTTATGTCTTGTTGTTTCGCATGCATGCAAATTTAGCCCATCTCTCTGAATTGATTAGGAAAAGTCATCTCAAATTAAAAAAAAAAAAAAAAAAAGATTAAAATGTCTCTAATTATGATTAAATGCAATCCTCAAAATTACTTGGATCCCTCTGGCATTAATTGAACAGAATTTTAAGAAGATTCAAAATACTTTCCATTAGGGATGGAGGATGTTTAATCTTTTATTGCAAAATCTCTTACTCCTTAATGTCAGGTTAGAAGATATTCTGAGGTCGTGGAAAAGAAAGGCTAACGACTAAACTATGTAAGCTTATTTTCTTGAAATTTGCCACTGTGGGAGTACTAATGTGCATAAATTGAAAGCATTGTTAAGCACTGTTTGTATCTTTTCTGAGTGGGGTTAAATAAGCTGGTAGTTAAAATTCGTAGCCTACACTAACTCCCACTGTATCAACAGGATTAGCGAAAGTGAAGCATTCTGCAAATAAAAGGCCAGGAGAGTTTTATGCCCAAATGCAGAGATTTATAAACAAATCCACAATAAAAGTGAAAAATTCCACCTGTGTTGGACAAACTTAGAAAGACAGGTATTTACATTATGGTTTGGAAGAATCCTCTAATTCTAACCAGTTACCCTCTCTTCATCTCATCACAGATGTAGTGTCAGATTCAGTGGCAAGATTTGGGAAGGTGAAAAACTGAAATGCATTTAACACTCCAGGCTATGCTGCTGTTAAAATTCAGCAGGATTTTAGCCATATGTGCTCTGCAATTGTGATGTCCAGAGATGCCAAGAAGTGTTTTTATGAGCAGGTATTAAGCATAATGAGGCTCAGTGAACCGCACTTGAGCAGCACTTCTCAAAGGTTTGTGATTTGGGGGATGACAGGGAAAATGAAAGGAAGAATGATGTCTCGTTTTGTAAATCTGTGGGTCTGTAGTGGCCAAAATCATAGAATCATAGAATAGTTTAATTACTTCCTATAAGACACTACAAATAATAATAATAAAAAATTAAATTACCTATTGGTCCAAATACATAGAAACCTTTGATTTGAATGGAAGGCAAAAGGTAAATAATATCTCAGAGCTCACAAATTCTGTATATGCAGGAAAAAAGTGAATTGCGAATTTAGCAAAAAAAGTAATAACAATTATAAGATAAAGGAGAATCCTCTAATCATTCACACAGGCAAGATAAGTTACCTTATAAAGCTAGATTCTAACATATGGAAACATCTCTAACATATGGAAACATATGGAAAAATCTCTTCATGTTACATAAAAATAAATTTAGCGCTAAGAAGGCAATGATTCACAAATCTTTTTAAAAATCACAGGTTTGAGTTCTTGTTCTTCCTACATATTCGATAATATTTAAATAATAGAAATTTTCAGAGGAAGGGGCCTTCATTGTATAGCTATTTCAAACCTCCAGATGAAATACACTATTTCATTACACAAGTAGGTTATTATGAAGTGTTGTCCATTGAAGTTTGCAAGGCTTATTTCTCTGGTAAGTATCAGAAACCAGTGTCAGTACCTAAAAAAGGATACCAAAGTCTGAGGCTGTGAAACACAGTGCTTTCATCTCTGCAACCAGTATTTTACATTTGCAATTTTCCTTTTTACCATTAAATTCCATATTTATTTTAATCAACTGACATGGAAAGCAAATCAAACCATAATGCATATAAGACCGAGCATAAACTTTTCTTCCTGTACTTGGCTGCCTTCATCCTACTTCAGTTCTCTTTTGACTCCTATTAGGTACTCATGTGAGGGAGGAAGGAAAACACTGGAGAAGACAACACTTCTCAATATATTTGGTATCTTCATAACCATTCTAAATTGATGCCAGTTGGGGCTGCAGCTATAGAGGCTCTTCACTCGCAGGAGAAAGGTAGATGGTACGTTGTTATACTGCTCCATGCAATTCTATACAGTACATTGTGGGAAAGAACAAAACCAAGTGATTTTACTACGTTCAACCACTCAGAATAGTGTTTCTAAGCAATAGCAATCGTGTTATACTTCTTTTTCACTTTACAAGTTTTGAGTAGCAGATACTAGCTAGAGAAGCAACAGAAATGTGTAGGGATATACACAAGTATTCCCCCATAAATGAGACAACCATTAAAACATAAATAGCTGTCTTGTGTGAATCTGAAAAACTGTGTGTATGGAGTAAATTACCATGTGCATGAAAAAAGAAACAAAAACATTGCAATGGGCAACATTAGAATGGCTTGGTTCTTTTACTGTGTTTGCATGCTATTCTACTTCAAATCACTGAAGTTAATAGAGAGAAAAGCTTTGGGGACTACTGGACCTAAAATACAATAAATAAAAATACAACATCTAAAATTTACCCAAGCATGTGGAATAGATAAGCAACATCCTATCTTCAGTGAGATTCTTCTCAACTTCCTTTTTTATTTTTTAATTTGGAATCAATAGCTATACATATAATGACATTTGAAGAATCAAGTTGTCGAAGGTAGTAGTATGTCCTGGGTTCAGCAGTAGCAGTCATTTTTTCTCCTTCTTAGTAGCTGGTGCAGTGGTGTGTTTTTGACTTTCAGCCTGGGAACAGTGCTGATAACACCGATGTTTTTAGTTACTGCTCAAATGTTTAGGCTGACCAAGGACTTTCTGAGCCTCATGCTCTGCCAGGGAGGAGGGGAAGCAGGGAGGAAGCAGACAGGACAACTGACCCAAACTAGCCAAAGAGGTATTCCATACTACGGCACATCATGCCCAGGATGTAGAACTGGGGGCAGTTACCTGGAAGGGCTAGTTCACTGCAGGGTTCACCCGGTATCGGTCGGTGCTCGGTCAGGCTGGGTATTATCAGTCAGTGGGTGGTATTGTGTTCCCTTCCCTTGTTATTTCCTTTATTATTATTGGTGGTAGCGGTAGCGATTTATGTTATACCTTAGTTACTAAACTGTTCTTATCTCAACCTGTGGGAGTTACATTCTTTTGATTCTCTTCCCATCCCTCTGAGAGCAGGGGGAAGAAAAGGGGGGGAGTGAGAGAGAGACTGCGTGGCTGATTTATGGCTGACTGGATTTAAACCATGAGAGATTAGAACCCAGAGCCATTTTCTTAGATGACAGTCAAATTAATTGGGAAAGAAAGAACCTGTTTACCTTACAAAGAGCCTTTAACATCATGGCAGCATATAGGTATTATTAAATTGCACTTATATCCATGTAGTGCTATACTTTCAGAGCAAGCAAAGCCTATTACTTTATTTTTTCCCACCTGTGTTTCATTGCTTATAGTCTTTTCTACTCATTTATTTCTGTCTGCAGACTTTTATATTTAGTTCAGTGAAACATGTAAAATATAATATTATGACAGCTGCAAAGAATATCAAAACCCTAAATTTTATCAAACTCAGCATAATCATTAAATTTTTGTTTGACTAAAGAAGACATAGTAGGGGGAAAAATGAGAGGCAAAGCCAGTAAAGGCTGCCACACTAAGTTAATGAGGAGTCTAATAATTTTCTCTTCACTCACCAAAATGGAGGTCTATTAATATTTCCATGGAACACTTATCTGTAGTGTTTTGCAGAGGACTATGTTTTTATAATACATAAAGGAATCAGATTTCTCAGTAGACCTATTTAGTATTTCCTATCAATAACCACATTATCAGATTTACAAGGGATTGTAATACAATTCTTCTATTTGCTAGGGACACTTATTAAGTACTGATAAGCTTTACAATTTCACTCAGACGGTACTACATTTCTAAGTACTTTTCCAGTTCTGTTACTTTGAATAGTATCTTTCATCTTTTACTTGTGACAAGTTCCATCAGCAATGGAACTTTCATGCAGCAGTTTCCACAGAGTTTTTTCCTGCTTAAGCACATGTAAAACAAAATGCACACAGATGCCATTATAAATAAAGCATATATACTCTGAACTGTAAAGCGAGACACAAAACAAGTCAGTCTTATGTAGCAATTTAGTTCCAATAATCTATGTCATGCCAACCGTTACTTTCGGAAAATAAGTTTTTTTAAACTAAGCTATAAAATCTAATTGTATCTTCAAATCTGAAAGAAATCACTCATTGCCCTGACACATTTTGACTAGAAATCATCCCTAATAATGTTAATGATTTGCAAGGATGGACTGAATGAGGATGCTTTCATTATGTAGTAACAAAACCCTGTGAAAACAGCATTGGGAGAGTAATGCAATGTACTTCCCATTCAAGTCTTTTTTTCCTCTGGCTTATCCATTGCCGAGGGTGGGGAAAATGTGGAACTTGGATAGGAGTAGAACAGCTCCGCCTGATGCAGCCATGGGAAGCTGTGTGCACCCCATTCACCCACCCCAGTACTCAGCCCTAAGAACCCCCCAGACTCCACTAGAGCCCCCAAGTTCCCTGCAGTGCTCCAAATAGACCCCTGTGCTACCCAGTACCTCCCCAATGAACACAGTACCCCTTGAAGCACCCATACACTCATATACCTGTGAGAGCCCTCCCAAGAGTATTATAGAGTCCTGCAGTACCCTCAGTACCCAGTACCTTGCCTGTAAGTTAACTGCAAGGGTTAATGGGGTAGTGGGTACAAGTACAGCCATTATGAGGAAAGGGTGACAGAGACAAGAGGAAGTGAGCAAGAGTATTCTCAGCAGGTAGACACAAAGAACAGAGAGAATGGTGGAAATTGGGATGGGCTGAGGAGTCATGGCTCATCTAGAAAGGAGATTTGCCCACCTAACCCAACAAGAGGAATAATGTGGAAAAAGGCCTGTAAGATGGAAACGTACTGGAGAAATATGCACACCCATTTAAGTAAATGGAAAACCTCTCAGAAATAAGTAATTTCCTGCATTTTTCACATGGCACTGACCATAATTTTTTTGCTCCTTAGGTCACCACCATCATATGGCTCTAAGCACTGCTAACTCTCCGAAGGTCTCTTCAAAGTCCTTGAATACATAAAAGCTCTTAGCTTTCTGATTTGTTCTGGTTAAGGCTCAAGGTGTAGAGAATCCATTCACAAGAGAAATCACTGTGTACACCTTCATAAATTATAGATATTATTTTAAATACAGTTGTAGTCTGTACAACAGAGGCAGAAGTCAATCTTTTAGTAACATCCCTAGAGACATTTTTATGAAATTGAGAGCAGGAAGTAATCTGTCATCAGGTACAGTCTGGCTCTCCCTGTCTGACCACTGGCAAAGATCTATGAATGCTCATATTTCCATGAAAGGATCTGAAAATGCTGGGAGGAAAGCTAGCATTATTATCTACAGATAAGTCCTACAAACAAAAAAAGGTAGCATGTATTTTCCAAGGTCAGGGAATCAGTGAAACAGCATTCTGTTGCCAGGCCCATGTATTACTCTTAAAATTGTCCTTGTCTTTTTCTGCCTAGAGAATTCCTTTCCTGTTTTCTCCTCCCAAGTAATTTTTTTCCCTCCGTTTTTCTCTTTTGCTTTTTCCAGTTTATCTTTCCTCACTTAACCTTCAGACTTCTTCTGATCCTATAAAAAAGGACAAAAGGCAAGAGCCTACAGGAACCAGCACAGTCAGACTCTTGTCTTTGTCCAGCACTGCCTTTTAATTTGTGGGAGAGAACAGTAGGAGAGATCATTGCATGCTGTGTATATTGCTGACATGCAGAGTCAGGAAAAACACGCACACTCCTGACTTCCTTTGAGAGTGGCTCTGTCAGCCAGGATACTGTTCCCTTAATGAGGCAGCCACAAACTGCTAGGGCTGCCCAGCAACTTTTGTTGTAATATTTAAATCCTGTATGCATAGCAACATATTTTTGCCAGCTCTGACAATGATCTTAAATTTATAGATGTGTTGGATTTTAAGGTTTTCAGGTTTTAAAGTATCAGAATCAAAAATAGCTCAATCTTTCTCATTTCTTTGAAAAAGGCCTATTTTTGTCACTATTGCCTTATTTTAAATGTAAATATCCCAAATTTAGATTTGGTGGGGGGTTTTTTGTCTTGAGGAGGAGGTGTAATGTAGAAGATCTAACCATTAAGGCTATGTAAAATACACTTTCATGTTTCTGAATGTTTCTGTCTTCTTTCAGCTGTTCTGACTTAGAATTCCCCAAATCAAGCTATGAAGCATGTGAAAGGCTTGGCCTGTTCTGCCTTTCACATTATTAAAACGTAGTGCTGTTCTTAGGGTAAGCTTTGTTGCTCTCTGATAAATATTCATAGAAGTCAATGAATGCAATTCAGCAGAGTTCTTTAATCTTGCAAAATAACTGTTTCTAAAAAATATCATCAGCTCTGCTAAAATTGCCTTTTATACAGTTTTCGCAGCCAGCTATAAAAATCACTCCTAAGACTTAAGCATTATATTGCTGTATAATACCAGCAGAGAATTATTAGAAATTATTTTAGTTTTTTGGAGGTGATCTTATTCCCTGTGGTCACAGTAATGTTGTGGAAGCTGGTAGATGTTGAAGCAACACCAGAGAAGTGCAGAGCAGTGTAGGGTCCTGTAAGGACTCCAGGTCTGTGCCCTTGCCTGTGCTCACTGAGACTTAAATGATGTCATTTCAGAAGTGCTGTGGGGTTAGGCTGGGTCAATATAACTTGCACAGAGCAAACTTAAGCAAGACACAAAGATCTTAGTTCAACTAAACATATTTTACTGTAGACATCAAAATAATCTTTGAAGTATTTAAAGTACCCAAAAAAGTAAACCAGGAGAGTAGCCAGTGATAAATTGACCCTACAGTGAACCTAACATTGCATCTCAGCATTGAGCTACTGTTACTAAACCTGTGAATGTTTGATTACTTTGAAAACAGCTTTCCCACTGGGGTGGTTCTCCCAGCACACATCCGTCTGCATTCCAGCTCTTGCTTTTGTCAAATCAAGGAGTTTTTTCAGGCTGTACCTTGTAACTACATTGATTATGAGCTTGACATTTGGATCGCTCGTT